CTCTTCAGATTCAGGGTCACTCACAGGCGCAGGGGCTTCTGAGCCATCCGCCCTAACAGCCGGGGCCAAGACGACCACGGCAAATTGGGACACCAAACCCACGCTCCTCCGGAGAATGCGGCCGCACTACAGTAAGACGTCAGCGAACCCAGCCAATGAAAACTCAGTTATCTACGGAGAGCACCGAGGGACAGAAGCCTCTCTCAGGAGGTTTCAACTATCAGAGGAATGGAGAGGGAAGGAGATGGAAAGTGAAATGATGAAAAGCAATCCAGTTGTAATTTTTTATTTGGGGCCAATTAAAAGTACTGAGTTGCTAGAAAGTTCCTGGAACAATGTCGGCCCCAACCTAATAATGTTAACTCTCGTGGAGAAGACAGACTCCCTCCACACATGCTTTTTGTTAAGTTTTAAACCTATCAAAAAGTGGAAAGAACAAAGGCAATCATCTGGATCTAGTAACAAGTTGGCAAACTTACTTCTCCCTCCACCTTCTCTCCTTTGAGGTGTATAAGCAATTTATTCTGTCATTTGAAAGTAAATTGAAGACATCAGGAATATCTCAGCATGTATTTCCTAAGAATATCCTCCTGTATAACCAAAATACCATTTAACACATCTAAGAAAATCAACATTAATTCAATAATATCCCCTGTCGACTGAAATAAAATCACACAATGTGAGTGCTGTGGGTTAAGTTTTATTTGGGGCAAAATGAGAACTATAGCCCAGGAGACAGCACCTCAGATAGCTCTGTGAAACTGTTCTAAAGAGGCAGGGGGAAAACTCAGTATTATATCTGATTTCAGTGAAGTGGGGTATGTGCAATCAAGCACACGTTTAGGCAGAGGCTGCGGGTAGTCACAAGAAGTAGATGTCACCATTAATGACTTTGGTGCTTTTCTAGATATGAGAAGACATAAGAATTGGGGTCATAAAATTTTCTCCTGAAAATATCTAACTACCTGAAGGCCTGTTCAGCCAGTTTTCCCAGAGCATAGAGTGCCTCATTCCTGATCTCTATCCTAAACTCCTTTCAGGGATTGTTGTAGGTCAGTGGCTGCAGCGGCTTGTGATTTAATACAGAGTTAGAGGACAAGTGCCAACGTGATCCAGTTCTTTCAGAGGCAGATGGCAAGTGCCGATTTTTAGCTAAGACCCCCCAACACATATTTATATTTAAAGTTTTTTTGTCTCTCCAAATTTATTTTATAACTTTATTTGTTTTCATTCAAGATTCAATCGACTTTCACACTTGGATTCAATTCTATCTCTAGTCTCTTTTAATCTAGAATAGCCCACCCACCTTTTCAGTTTTGTTTTTTGTAACATTGACTTTTTGGGAGAATTCAGCCCAATTGGTAGGAGACAACAGTGTTTAAGGAAGTAGAAACAAAAGCAAGTTTCTGACAACTGAGGGGCAGGAAAAACTCACCAAGGGCAGCCAAGAAATTCAAAATTAATGTAAAATAAGCTTAAGGAAGAAAAACAAAGTTCTGATTTTCCTCATAATTTCTACAATGCTTTTTTGGGAAAAATGAAGTTACCTGCCTCACAAATATTGATGCTCCTGTATTGCTCGTACACAAAGGACGTATTTTTTCTACTTTTGGGGGTAATACAGCACAGCCCCGGAGTGGAGATTAAGACAATTTGGAGAAGAGTAGAATTTTATCAAACATGGGCAGGTAATGATTTCAGGAAGAGGAAACAGTGAGATATGAAAACTCATCCATGGAATTCTGTGTTATCTTTACAAATTTCCTGCAAATAGAAATCTATTGTAAAGTAGAAAGTTTATGAAGAAAAAACCTTCATCCATGAGAAGTCACAAAAGGATTCTAAGCATAAGAATGTGGCCAGTTTACATTTTAGAAAGATTGGTCTGGCAGCAGTGTGGAGGGCGGGTTGGAGGGATAGTTAAGATGAGAAGACATCACAGCAATAGTCCAGAGAAGCAGAGGATAAATGATGGTGGGCTGGAACATAAATGGTGGGAAATGACAGAAACAGAACAAAGAACTCTTTCAGAGATAGAATTGGGGACCTTCCTAACTGCTGACGTCCAACTCTGAATATGGTTGCCTGTCTTTCAAACTAGGCAGGTCAGTCACATGCACTATGTCTTTAGTACGAAAGGAACACGATCAGGTCCCAGGAGCCTCCCTGATCCTGCAGACACAAGTAGGAAGATATCTTATAAAATGCTTTATTTAATAAGTAGCAGCCCAAGTGGCAGCTCCACCTTCCCACTTAACATGTACACACACATACACAACCTGTCATTATATTTCCAAAAGGGAGCACATGTCAAGATGTCACCCATTCCCAGCCATCCGACTCATACAGAGAAAAGACAGGAGGGGCCCATCACATACACCAAGCTACTGCAACAACACTCCTTTCACTGTTTCTGCTCAATCTAGAAGATTTGTTCTGAAATTGTTTCATTTTCTGTTATTTGCAATGTTATGGAAAAGTAAATTACTGACATTCACAAGGTGACAAACTGTCAAGAACAAGACTGTTTTTTCCTTTTTGTTGTTGTTGCTTTCCTTTTTAAATTTAGAATCTTGTTAGCAATACATTAGCATCCTTAACAGAAAAAAAAATTATACAGTCACTCAAAAACCAGACATTTAAGAAAATAATGCAGTAATCAACTACTACCAGGGAAAACAGGTCCTCTCATTTGATTCTACTGGCAAGCCCAGGTTTATCCTGAACTTTTGAGAGACTCTCTGTCCTGAATAGATGATGAAGCATTCAAGTAAAAAGTAAGGAGTTATAAGTGTGAGTTTCTGAGGGATACTGCCTCCAAAGAAGTTCAGGAGTAGCCACGGTTCTCCAGTTTACTCCAATGTTGGGATGTTTTCTGGGATGACTAGCATAGTTGCCTTTTGAGGAGTTCTGACAATTCATCAGCCTCAGGATTCAGGTCTTATAAAACATTCTTCCACATTAAAAAAGACTTTGTCCCATAGGAATAAGTTTTCATCGCTTCTCCAGCTTCTTGTACTTGGCTTCTGCAGTGGGGAGGGGGAGAGAAAGTTATATCTTTTAAAACTGACTCTCAACAAAGATACTTTTTAGTTAGCATTTCCAGGCAAAATCAAAAATGTCTATTACATTAAAAAAAATCTATTAGCTTCAGTCTTCCTAGCTATCCAAATTGTGTCCATAAATGCTATCATATTAGCTAAAGACAGATATTTGGATATCTGTCCAAATACAATCAATGCGCACAACTTAAGATAAAGAGTCAACCATACACACACAGAACTGAGAGCCTAACACAAGTTCCCTAAGTTCTAACCCTGTTAACAGCACCTGTTCAGATGGCTCCACCAGGATTAAGGAGCTCTAAGGATACTTGAGCCACCCGGGAGCTTTAGTAAGCACAGGAAATTGCTTCTCTAGGCTCTGTCCCAGGAACCCTGTGGGAGCCAGACTGGAACTCTTAAGAAGTGTAAGTGTAGGTTTCACCTTTTATATTCTTAACCCTACCCCTCACTCTAGGAAAACAATCAAATAAGCCTCTTAATGATATATCTCTTTTTCTCTGAAAGCTTGAAAGCATCTGGTACAACACCTTCTAAAGTTCAAAGTCGCCATTTAGTAAATTAAACTGTGGCCAATGAAATCATTAATCACCGCCCATGTCAAATCTCAGCGTGCTAAAGACCAATCTCTTGAAGTAGTCAACAACTGTCAATGATAAAAATAAAATAATCTGTAAATTATACCTTGGTTAAAAACAACTTTATTATTTTTAATTATAGATACAAGAGCCAGAGCCAGTTAGCAACACTGAAAAGTGCCAGTTTCCTCTTCAAAGGAAAAGTAATCCTTCAAGAAGGCATTGATTAGCAATCCTGTTTTTTAAGACATGAACTACATCATTAAAGATTCTTCAAGCTGCTGAACCACAATTAAGAGCTTGAGCTTTATAATTAATCAGATCTAGTTTGGAATAAAGCTCTTTCATATACCAGCTTTGTATCCTTAAGGAAGTTATAACCCCTTCAACCACAGTTTCCTCTTCTATAGAATGGGGATAAAAATCACACACTTAGCTCATAGATTATTGGAAGGGTAAAAAACATAAAAGACACAAAAAAACAGTGCCTTGACAGATCATTAAGTACTCGGGAAACGTTATTTTATTACTACTACCAATAATAAAAAGTTACTCTCAAGAGGTTTGTGAAGATTAAAATAGATAACTGTAGGCATACCATAAATGTTAGCTATCATATTAGATAAGGTCATATTGGCAGAAGGGTACTCTTGTCAAATGAAAATAGAAATAAAAATAGTTACCCAGTTTTTTTGAATATGCATCCAGCTTGTAGGCTGCCTGCTCGAGAGCTGCTACCTGCTCCTCAATGACATTGATCTGATCCAGATAAGGCTGCAGTCCAGCATCTTTAAAAACAAAGATAGACCACAGGTTTATACGGCTTCAACAAGGAGTGTAGAAAACAGTGGAAAAGTAAGAATGCTACTGTCTCTCCAGCTCTGCCTAAGACCCAGTAGGTAGAGTGACATGGCTCTGATCACTAGTAGGGCAGACACCTCAGAAGACAGTAGCTAGTTGATCAGGCCCGATGATGACCTAGACAAAGTTAAGCCTCTCTCATCTGACTTTCCTCTCTTTTAAATTCCTTGCTCCTCAAGCAATCCTTCCGTTACTGATTCAGTTTCTTGGGTACTCCTGGACCAAGAAAGAGGACTCTAAAGACAGGGAACACAAAGATAAGTCAACAGAAATAATGTATCTTACTAGTTTAAAGCAGTGTTTTCCATTTATAGATGTTGTGGTTTTCTGTTTATAGAGTAGTCCTTCATGGATTTCATTGTTGAATCAGTTCACTAGAATCTGGCCACCCTTCCTCTGCCCCCTGTTTTCCAGGAATAAACTGATCAAATCAAGATTCAGAAGCAGAATAACCATACACCAAGGTACGCTAATCCTCAGAATGGAAGAAATTTACCTTAACTTTGTAATTCACTTTTAGAAAATGAGCTTCCTGAGGATAGAGGCCATATTCTCTTCCCTTCCCCACCACCCCAAGCACAAAAGAACATTAAATACATACACATTTAATTGTAAAAATTATTACTTACACTTCTGGTTTAAGTCCTTTAAGTTTCTACTAATGTTTATAGCAATATCTTTCATTTCAAGATATTTCAGGCTGGTTAGTTTATTCATATTTTCCAAGAGCTTATAGTCTTCACTGGTGGCTTTAAAACAAACAGAAGATGAGATGCTTTTAAGATTTGTCTTAGATCCCTGGAATATGGAATTAATAGGCCAAATAGTAGTTCAAGGGAGGACCTAGGGAATGACAAAGGAGCAAGCCACTTTTGATCTATGACATTTATACTCAGCCTGCATACTCTGAATGTCTAAGTAGAAACTCAGGCAACAATCAACACACTATTTAAATCAAGTGAGATTCAGAAGCTTCAGGATCTTAGAAAGGGAAATGATAAACTCATGTACCAAGAAAAGGGAAATGAAATAGTCTTGGTACCTCTACAGCACGAAAACATGTACTATGGCAGATTGCAGCAAACATAAATATCAAAATATATATAAAATCAGCTAGGACCTCAACACTTCTCAGTAACTCATTTATTACTTGTGATTCTATATTGCATTTTATGCATTTATTCAAGCCATTTGTCTGTTTCTCATACCCTCAATTCCCTTCCCCAGCCCTGCTCAAAGCAAATGGCCTTTACTCCAGTTTTCCCAAAAGCCAAGCCCACTTATATAAGCTGCCTCAATCTTTTTTGCCTCACTTCTAAACTTCTCTGTACCTTAACATCTTCCCAAGAGGCAGAAGTGCTCCTACTCTTCCAAGACAACTCCTCCTCCTGTGCTCCTGATCCCAAACCCTTCTACCTCTTCAGGGCCTCTCTTCAATCACCTCCTCTCCCCTGCATTTCCAAACTCTCTCCATCCTGGCACTTCCCTCTCTATCTAGAAATATATTCATGTTTCTTCCAGCCCAAAAGCCCTCCCTCTATTCTACACCTACATCATTTGCTCATTAAAGCAAAGGAGCTTCACTGTTAACCCTTTTGAAAGAGTACCTTACACTCACTGCTTCCTCTTCTTCACTATTCACTCCTGTAAGCCCTTCCATTCTGGTCTCTCCTCCCATCATCCAGAGAAATTACATGCTCAAAGGTCATCAGCACTATCCTAACCCCCAAATTCATGGCCTTTTTGCAGTTATTATCCTCCTAGGCCTCCCCATAGTATCTGACACTACTGATCTCCCTCTCTTCCTGAAATGCTCGTGTCCCTTGGCCGCTGTAGCATTTTCTAATCTCTTTCTCATGGCTCTTTCTGAGTTTCTATGCCAGATCTCTTCTCAGCCAACTCACTTAATTATCAGTGCTCCACTTTTCCTCAGCTGTCACACATGACTGATGTTTACATGGGTGGCTCCCAACTCTATTCCTGCTCTGATCACACACTGAGCTCTGGACTAAAATGTGCAAGTCACCTGGATGTCTTGGTAATAGTCACCTGAGTGTCCCAGTAATATCTAAAATCAGCCAAGCCAAAACTGAAAATATTATTTTCACACTAAACATGGTTCCTCTTTTGAACTTGCCAATTTTGGCTGATGGCACTACCCAGGCTTAAAACCTCAGACACATCTTAAGCGGCTCCCATCCCTCAATACCCACTTCCACAAGTTCTATAAATTCCACTTCTGTAATGTTCTTGCATCATGTTCTCCTTCCCATTCCTTTTCCCATCACTCTGTCACAGACCACTACTTTTCATCTGCAATATTGCTCTTCTCTCTTTCCTCCATATCCATACTCTCACTGCTATCAAATTAGTCTCTGTAAAACAAGGGCCAAACTCTCAAATACCTAGAAGCCAGCAAGATAATGTAAATGAGTGAAGCAAGCCAGGGATTTGACGATTAAACACAAAATTATCCATTTCCACATAGAAATATGCTCTCTCCTACTTCTTGGAACATAATCCTCTTAGTCTTAGTCTATCATTTACTTCACCAGAAAACCACTCTGTACCACTACTAAAAACAACAATATAAGAACAGTAATTAATGGCAACTGACACCAGGTCTCGGTAAAAGAGAGAAAATAGGGAGTAGTGGGGACAAATTGAACAGCACTGGTCCATTTAAAGGAGACAGCTGCCCAGCTCTAGTCAACTAGAGCCTCTTAAGAATGAGGGACTAGTATTGCCAAATCTTGGGAATTTTTAAAGAAAAGCCAAAAACAGATTTGTTGCCTGGTTTCTCTTGCTCAGAAATAAATAAACAAATAAGTAATCAGGCTGAAGGAGAACCACAACTCCTCCTATTCTGTATCAAACATTTTCTCATAGACTCTGATTCACAAATTTAGCTCACAGCAACTTCCTAGGGAAGTGAAACAATATAATAAACCCTTATGAAAAGCCAGATGTCATTTTTTGGACCCTCCTCCACACAGGGGTCATGTGTTCACCTAGAAATACACACTGGACCAAAAAATTAATCATGTTCCAAAGGGTGGGTCACCAAATCCTCAGACCAACCTAATAGGTCCCCAAATCTGTGGGTCACTTCCAATTTCATTTCTCTTTAAAGTAGTAAATATGAAAGTTTAGCCAAACAAACTGCTTGCTTATAACACCTCACTCACTAGTCATTTCCCACTTTTGGGACAATCATTTGCTTCACAACCCTGTTCAAAATACACCTCCTCCAAGGGAGCACTTCTTGATAAATTCTTTTTTGTTTTCTCAGCCTCAGCCCACACTACGGAGGCCTGCAGGAATGTAAGTATTCTTAAGTGTTTCTGAAAGTAGTTCGTGAAATTTCTCCAGGGAAGGGATGGACTTCTTTCCTACCTATTCCTGACCTCCCAAACTTCAAACAGGCATGTTTCAAGGTTTATAGGGTTAGGAAGGGAGACGCAGACTGATGCTGCTAAAGCACCTCCCAGGTCTGGAGCCAGACCCCTGCTCAACCCAGACCCCGCCTCACCCGTCAGTTCCCCAGTCAGGTAAGTTGCCATTTTGGAGAACATGTCCCGGCAGAGCTCAGTGATGTCAGCCTCAGCTGGCTCCTTTGCTTCCTCAGCTGTTTCCACGGCGGCATCATCTGGATCAAAGGAGGATGAGTAAGTGCTCTGCCCTACACCTGGTCCTAATCCAGGCACAGCAGCCTCTCCCCACATCCCCACCTGTCCTCATTCCATCAAATCGGCTCTAATCTTCATGTGTCATAATTTCAAGTCCCTCGCCTCGTCTTTGCCACAAAAGACGCCAACTCTGCTCCCTTGAACTCGACCCCGCGGCAAAACCATCTCAGGCGCCCTGACAGGACAAACGCACGCACACACAGGCGCGCCTCGCTGTGCCCGCCTGCCCGCTCCGGCATCCCGGGCCCGTACCCGGAGCCTCAGGCCTCCCGCGACACTTCATCCCCATCCACTCCGCATACCTCGAACGGGCTCCTCTCTGTGGGTGGCTAGGACACTCTGAGCCGCCGCCGCCATGCCCGGCCCCGCGCTGCTTCCGGTTCTGGGATACCCGCGCATGCGCGCCGGGCGTGCCCCGCCCACTCCCGCCCTGGATTCGCTGCCCTGCGATCTTGAGCCTCAAATCGTACCGTACGTTACGAATAATAACAAAGTGTAAGCACCAAGGCGGAATTGAAGCTAGAATGGGCTTTCGTGAGTCAATCTGCTGCCAAGAGTCCAACGTCTGGAACTAAGGATGCGCTCAATCCTGCGGCCTCTTCCTGGAGGAATCACTAGTCTAGGAAGACACACAACGTGTATGGGGGGGAGGGGTCGAGCCCGGTGTGGCCTGCTGACCAAAGTGACCGGAGACAAATTAGCCGCTCCCCAGAGAATTCTCACCCTGGCTAGTCGCTGAAAGCCTGCTTAGGGAATCCATGCTTTTGAAGATAGTCTCATCTAGGCTTTGGGGTAACCTTCAGGCATTAGACCTGAGTTGAAATACTCTCCCTTCCAGTGTCCTGGATTAACATCAACACATTGGACCATTTATTTTTAAGCTGGAGGCTGGCACCTACTTCTCTTCGGTTGATACAGCCTTTCTTGAAGAAAGCTTAGATGATAACTTTTTTAGGGCTGAGGATACACTCTGTTTATCTTAATTACACTCAGCTGTTTCACAAGACTCCTGGGTGTACAGAATGTATTTGACGAGATAAGAGAATGGGGGTGGGTGAAGGGAATGGATGAAAAAAGAAACTGGGGAGCAATGGAAGGTTCAAAATAAGGTAGGGATAAAGGTCACAAGGCAATAGAGGGGTTATATAGCAGGTCTCAAGATGCAGTTCTATATACCTGAAATCTTGCTGTAGGAGTTTTTTGTCTTGTCTTTGGTTATCCTCCAGCTGCACTCTCACTGCCCACACCCTGCGTGCATGAGCGCGCGCGCGCGCACACACACACACACACACACACACACACACACACACACACCTTACTCTCTTCACTCTAAGGTCTCCCTAGGTCACTGTTTCCACTCTCTCCAGTGGTACAATCACAGTGCCCACCATTTCAAACCATTCCTATAAGCCAGAGTTTTTATTTTAGGACTCCTGGGGCAGCCCAGCTTCTTCACATTGTCACTGCTAGACTCTACACCTCCCAGCAGGGATGAGATTTCTCCAGCCCAAGTACAAGAATGGCTCACAGTTCCAACCTCTCTTCTCCTCCCATGCAATCCCAGAAACAAGTACCAAGTCCTGGGTTTCCTAAGAATTTTTATTGACTGTCACCAGGGGAACCCACGTTGTCCTATCGAAGGACAGAATCGGAGCCAACCACATTTTATCCAAAGATCTTGGAATCCTGAAGTCCTTTCTTTGCCGGATTCTCCTCAGGCTCCATCTTCATCCTGGTTTACAGCCCCCTCAGTGTTCAGTGGCATGTCTGAAGGCAGGCTCTTCCACTGAGTCTTCATGGACTTTGCTGGGGGAAAGTTGGGGAACATCATCACTCTAGATCCTCTGCGACATTATAACCTCCTCACATGAGAAAGGCTCCTCTCCTCTCTGGCTTCCCATTCTCTTTCACAGGGAAGGTCTATGGAGAAGACTTGAACTCCATGGGTGCTGGCAACATATCTCTAGATGCACAGAGAAGATTCACTGGCAAGGAGGAAGACATGTAGATACTGCTATTCTCTCAGCTTCTACTTTTTTCACAAATGGTGGCTATCCAGATGCTTAGGAAAGTCATTACCCTCCCTTCCTTTATTCTGTTTGTTATTGACTATTTTTTTAAATCATCTAAACAGAGCTCAGAGTACAGGGAGTGAGAGCTCTGTTATTTCACAGAGCTACATGGCTACACACAGAAACATTGGCTCAAATGGCCAGACATAGGGTGGAACTCAGCAGCAGCAATGGCGGGAACTGCTGCCCTAGAAGTGGAGGGCACGTGCCAAGGGTCCTTCCAGGGAGGTGGTGAGGGAGGAGCCTGCTGTCTGATGCCTTAGGACCCCTCCCCCCCCACTCTCCTGTCCACTCTGGAGTCCCCAGGGGCTGGAGTCATGGCTGGGACTGCCTGCAGGTGCTCCCAAATGCCTTGTTCCCCCTGTTGGAAGAAAAAGGGACAAGTCACTTGAAAGAAGAGTTTGTGTCTCACTTTCCTTTTACCTGGATCTGTTTCTCCAACCCCAGACCATCTCCTAGAGGCCAAAGCAGCCCTCAGGCTAGAGCAACCAACTTCAGGTCTTCCCTCCCACCGCCACCTCCGCTGATACACTGACTAGCGTGAACATGTTGCCCAAGGAGCAGTGAAATCATTGGTCTTTCAAGAATGTTTTGCCTCCACCCACTGAGTGGAAAAGATGGTAGAGTTCAGCTGTAGGGAGCCAAGAGGAGCCGGATTAAGGGCCACTCACCATGCCTGAAGAGGGAGTCAGCTGCCCCTTCCTCTCCAGCATAGTCAGCTTTGAGCCCACGGCATCAACTTGGGACATGACTCCTTCCAGGGTGGTCTCCAGCTGTAAAACTCTCCTTGTGAGCCTGCGCAGGATTTGAGAGACCAAAGGAGCAGAAATATGTGTCTAGGGGCCTGGGTGTTTCCAGGGATAGGGGGTACAGAACAGTGTATGTTTGGATGGGAGCAAGGAAGGTAAGGCCAGCCTTGTAGGGAGAATTAAAGGGGTACAGAAGTTCTTCACAGGATAGGACAGGGAATTGGAAGGTTGTGGAAAGAAACTCAAGGTAGGATATCATAAACACAGTCAACCCTTGGCCCCTGGCTGCACGTACGTGTAGAATTCTTCTCCTGAAACCCAGCCACCTGCTCTGGCAGCCTCTGGACTCGACTCGCCTGGTGGGCTACTCACAATGGACTGGCCCAGGTTCTCAATCTCAGCGTTGAGGGCCACCTGATCAGGAAGTCAGAGGTCAGAGAGGAGAAGATGACTCTGGGAAGCCAATAGCTCCTGCTCCCTCACCTGCTCCAGTGGGCTCTCAGGACTAGGCCTTGGGCTCCAGTTCCTGCTATTCCTCTTCCCTCTCAAACTCTGGGGATGACAGAAGCAGAGTGGAGGTGCTGGACACAGAGCTGGGCCTAACCTCTGGTGGGGAAACACCTCCAAGGAAACAAAATGCAAGCTCCTTGAAGCACTGATTAACAAGGTGCTCACTAGAAGCCAGCTTAGTTTGGGTGAGAAGGGACAGTGCCCTGGCACCGTCCCTTTTGACCCTGGCTTTTTGGTGTACACTGGATAGGGATGAAGCAGGCCTAGCAGGGGCTAGGAGTCCCAAGGAGAGGGCAAGTTCTCTGAAGGAATTGTCAGGAATTCTTGGGCAGCTTTCCCTTTTCTCCTTAAGGTTGTAGTCAATGACTGTGAGCAATGGCAATCAACCTTGGCTATGAGTTACTTGAGAGTTTTTAAAGGACTGATGGTTGAGCCCCCCAGCTCCCCAGAGATTCTGGTCTAGGATATGTGGCCTGAGAATTTTTAAAAGCTCCTCAGGGGGTTCTAACATGCAGCAATTTGAGAACCGCTATTCTAGAGAGCTCTTTCCTGCCCATCTATCGGGGGATTTTCAGTTTGGGTTTGTGTTCTCTGGGTGTGCAGGCAGGAGGGGAGGGTGAGCAGTTTCCTCACACTGCCTCTCTACCAGCCAGCCAGCCTCACCCTCTCCTTCTCCAGATCCTGTCGCATTTGTTCCTGCTCCTTCTCATCCAGGATGCAATTCCCATCTTGGTCAAACCTGGTGAAGGCAGCTGTGAGCTCAGTGATCTCATACTCCGTGTGCCCCAGCCTGAGGAGAACAGAGTGATGAAATGACTTCTGAGCTGCCATGGCTGTGGTCTCCCAGTTATGGACTCCCTACTCATTTTTTTCAGTCTCTGGCAAGAGGGAAGAAGGGTACCATGTAGAAAAGCCAGGATCTCCAAGATCTAGCAATTTGATCCCCTAAGAAATCACTTGAGTCTATTTCTTCCTTCTGTGACTCCTGCTGACTAGGTTCAGGCCCTCGTGATCTCCTATGGGGATTACTGCAAAATCTCTTTGCCTCCAGATAACCTGACCCCTCCCTGCACCCTCTGTCCTATAGCCTCCCCTTCACTCCTTATCCCTGAAATCCATCCCTCATAATGCTACTAGAGTAATTAATCTTTCTAAAATACAAGTCTAAACATACCCCTTCCCTGCTTAAAATCCCTACTGAGAACCCTGTTCTTTGAGTAGAGCAGTGGCGTCCAAGGCTTTTCCCAGTGTGGCCTGAGCCCATTTAACTGGCCTCAGCTCCCCCTGTGCTCTGCCTTTCATTTGATACCTTAACAATACTCAGCTACTAGTGACTCCTGTCTGTGTTGCTCAATTTCAGACCTCCTTGCTTTTATATGTGCTTTTATTAATCCATGCCCCTCTCTTCTAGTCACTTCTGTTGTCAAACTTGTTCTCTGATTCTGTTTAATTGCTTACATGTCTATAAACTCCTGGAGGACAATGACTTTGTTTCATTTAATTGTGTGTCTGGCTCACAGCTGGTGCTCACAATATATTTGTTCAATGTTTGTTAATATGTTTAACTGGGAAGCAGGAAGAGGATGGTTAAAGGAAAAGATCTGTGTTTGTTGGGGAGCACAGAACCAAGATCAAAGTTCTGAAGGAGTGAGGGATGTATACAGTGATTATGGAATTATATTATTACATTAGTCCTAAGAGTTATTCAACAAGATCCAGAATACAATAGAACATGGTCAGAGTCCTTTAAACCAAGGGCACAATTCTGAAGGTCAGGATCAGAGACCTATAAGCCAAGCTCATAGTCCTATAAACCAAGGTCAGAGCACCATAAGCCAAGATCAGAGGCTTATAGGCGAAGGGTGTATGGTTGAGGGTCAAGGACTTATAGACTAATGTCAGAGAAGGTTGGATCTCTGGTTGCTCACTCCCTCAAGGTGTTGGTGAAGTCCTCGAACTGGATCTCCTGCTCCCCACCCTGCAGGACCTTCTGCACTTCCGAAACCTGCTCCTTCCTTAGACGCAGCCTCAGTAGGGTCTTGTGGTACCCCTGGAAGGGGAAAGGAAACAGGCACCAGTTCTCACAGCTTCCTCAACATCTCCTGCCCCCACCCGCACCTACAAGGTGACAGGATCCCAGGGATAAGTCCAAGGCACATGAAGGCACAGGCTCCTAACCAGTCAGACACAGACCAGGACTCAGAGCCTTGGACCTGGACCCTGATGCAGATGTGCAGCTCCAGGAGAGGGAGTAGTCACCTGTCTCAGGAGGTCTGAAAGCTGTAGCTCTTCCTTCTGTCCAGCCAACTCCTCCTTGACCTCTGAGTATGTGTCATTGATAATGGCCAGGAACATGTTCTGGAGGATAAAGCAGGGACCTGGGTCCTCAATCCCAGACCCACTAACAGCATTGAACCCATTGACCCTATTAGTGTCCCAGACACATGCTTTAAAGAGCCAATGCTTTCAACCTCATCTCTGCAGCCTACTAAGCCCCACATCTCAGGATCCCAAGCACAATGCTGTTAGCAATGGGTCATGCTCCCTTATCCTTGATTTGAGAAATCCATCATAATCGTTAGTGTGGAACTTGGAGGGAGTCAAAACCCCACCCTGCAGGCCATCCATGCCTCCACTCCTCAGGTTCCCAAATCCCCACCCCCCCAGAGGGATCCTCACCAGAAGCACAAAGAAGACGAAGAAGACATAGGTGACAAAGTAGGCAGGTCCCAGGATGCGGTTGGCATTGTCAATAGCATTGTAATCAAAGTCCCCAAGGATGATCCGGAACTGAGTGAAGCTGAGAGACCAGGGTCTTGGCTTCACCCAGAGCCCAAACATAGCCCTGACCCCAATCCACACCCCCATCCCACTCTTCTAACTATTGCCCTCTGGTGAACTCAGACCCCTTACAGCATGTCCAGCCCAATCTGATAGAGACAGAACGAGGTACAGAGGTACTGAGCACACACACCAGGGCTTCCAGGGACTCTCATACAGATACTTTAAGCACAGACATGCCCACACACCTACCTAGCTGCCTCAGGGACACATAGAGATGGAGGGTGAGGGGCTAGAAAGAAGTGAAGGGGACAGGACACACACATGCACTTGATGAAAGTGCTGAAGTTTTCCACTTGGGTCCCAAAAAGCAGGTAGCCTAGCTGGGCGTAGGCAAAAAAAACGATGAAGAACATGACAGCGAAGCCCAGGATGTCCTTGGCACAGCGGGCCAGCGTGGAGGAGAGCTGGGTCATGGTCTTGTTGAAGCTGATATACTTGAATATCTGGAAGGGCCATGTAGAACCAAGGAATTAAGGAAGAAAAGAGAAAAGCTTTGAATGGTCCACTCCAGGGGCCTAAGAAGACCACAGGAGTTGCCAAGCCAGACAAGGAAAATGCGACAAGTACTGAGGAAGGGAGAATGAGGCATTGCTGGGGGTGAGGAGTCCCAGGGTACCTTGATCCAGGCAAAGAAGAGGTTGACAGCATTCATGTTGTCGTACTGTGTCTGCCAGAAGGCAAGGAACTCAAAATCAGCGTATGTGTTTGGCTGCTGCAGGAGCTTCCCCATCAGCTGATTCACCTCGAGGGTTCGGAATACGTGGAAGCCCACGGCCACAATGGAGAGCTGCCACCACAGGGGTCGGGGTGGGGGGTCAGAGAAGTCAAGAGGATCTCAAGGGAGGTTCAAAGATGAGGTCCCAGGGGCAAGCTGGGGTGGGGAAGACAGGTAGGGAAAAAACACATCTTTCCCTGCTGAGTTGTTGACTATCTCAGGTTCATACGGAACTGGATAGGATAGAGGAACGTCTTATAGCCCAAGAGGAGGCTTTGGGGCCAGTGGTAAATATCTAGGTTGTGAAGGACCATGGAGAACCGGAGCTGAGCAATTTTAGTTTCCCCACCACTTCCCAACCTGGGTCAGAAATTAATGTATCTTGTTAATAGGAAGGAGACAAAAATGAAGAGGTCAAAAATTTTTAATAAGAGAAAAAAAGGCAGGCATTCCAAGGGGACAGGTCATAAAGGCAAGAGGCAGAAGAGGAATGTATGTAATAGCAAGTACACAAAGAAAAGAGCAGGGCCTGGACCACAGGCCAGAAAGAGAGGAGATGTGGGAGACAGGGTTTTCCAAGGCTGAGCCAGGGGAGCATCAGCCTTTGGCTTGGGGAGCTGTTAACACATTATTGACAGGAAGTCATAAGGAGGACTTGGGACTCCAAAAGGAAGAATTTGGAGCCCCTATCAGGGTGGATCCCCCTCCACCTCCCACTATGTCCCAAGTATAAGATATCTGTCCCTCACCAAGATGACCACCAGGTCCAGAATATTCCAGATGCTCTTGAGGTAATGAAGCCGGTGGATGTGGAGCTCCAGGATCTCCTCCACCACATAGTAGAAAATGAAGATGCAGAAGATGACCTCACAGCCAACGATAAAGAAGTCCCAGTTGCTGACATAGCGGATCAGCTTAACTGTGCGGATTTGCCAGGATGGGATGGCACCTCCTGTGGCTGGAAACTCTACCACTAGTCTGTGGAAGGAGGAGGAGATGCCTGATGGGGCCTGAGCTGGGACAGTTCCTCTTATCCCCTCCCCTCCTCACTCCCACCTTAGGGTACAATTTTAGGGAAGGGTCTCAGTCAGAGGAGCAGGGAACCAGGAACCATGGATGGAGGGAAGGCAGGGAAGGAGGACTCACCTCAGAACACAGAAGAGATTGATGTTGGCATTGTAGACGGAGAAATCAATGAAGACCACTCGAGTGCCCCTGTCCAGCCACAGGCCCTCCTGAAGGTCCCTAAGTGCCTCTGCACTGGCCTGTAGAGTTCCTGGAAGGTCCAGGTAGTAGCCACCTCCACTGTAGCTTGTGAGCCGGCCCCAGTGAGAGGAGCCCCCCAGCTCATCCTGAGAATGGTATGTCCATCTGTCACAGAAGAAGTCATCTCAACAGAGAGCCTAAGCCAGCCCCAAAAACTAGTCTCCCAAGGCAATGGCAACACTTTATGATTGGGCTTTACCATTTCATATATATTATATATACATACCACGTATAATATATTTTTCACATATAATATCTTGTTTAATGTAACATATAATAACTTGTTTAATGTAACACATATAATATCTTGTTTGAGAAGGGAGGGTAAATATTACCCACATTTTACAGACGAGAAAACTAAGACTCAGCGATGTCTGAGATAACCCAGGTAGTTAATGGCACAGCTGAAACACACAAATGTAAATCCCCTAATTTTTCATGATGTCACCTAAGACTATGGATGACAAATCCAAGCCCATGTTTGACCCCAGCCTGAGTAGTCCCCACAAGGGAAGGACCTGGCTCATACCAGCCAGAAAAGACCCTTTCTGCTCTTATAATTGTACATCTGGCTACTTGACCCCATGATTCTCTGTTCTGTCCAGAAGCTTTCCTCCCTGGATCTTTATTTCCTTCCCCTTCTCTCCTGTCCTAGCCACCTTTTCCCCCTTTCTTCCCTAATTCTTCATCTGTCCTTGTCCCCTTTCTGTTTTCCTTGTCAGTTCCAAGGGTCAGACTCTTCCAACCATGACTTGTGTGGCAGTATCTAACTTCATCCATTCTCCATACCCCTGAGGGACTTCTGGGCAAGAAAGGATGATTTCTCTGGCAGGACTGCTTCCAGAGTAGAGCGACTGTGACTGTCACCTCTGCCTAGAAACAAGTTCAGAGGTGATGCTCTGTCTGCTAATGTACCTTCTCTGTTTCTCAGTGATGTGGACTAAGGTCTTCAATCACAGCTGGGTCTCAGAAAGATGTTCCCTAGATCCACCAAGTGCCCCCAAGTCTCTTTAAGGCTCAATGGAAGTGGTTCCCAAACCTGGGATGGTGTCAGGCTCAGAGGGACAAGCCCTGTGACATCGGTGGGGTGACTCACTCACGCTGTGCCATTGAGCAGCCCAAAGGGGAGCTGCTCTTCTTTGTCTGGAGAGTAGACGTTGTAGCAGCTCAAAATGTCCTCACGGAAGTCCTCATGCACCACACAGGAGTCATTGCGGACCCGCAGCTGCCGCAGCCTTGGAACTCCCAGCAGAAGGTTCTCATAGTAGATGAAGGAGTGGGATCCACGGCCCAGGCTCCGGTTATTGTACCATTTGGTCCAATACAAACTGTCCAGTAGTGGGCCCTGGGCAAACTAGACCAAGATCTGAGTTGGGCCTGACCTCTACCCTTAGAATGACCTTTTCCCCACTTCCTGACCCCTCACAGCTTGTTTCCAGCCTGCTTCTGGTGGGCTCTCAACTGATCCATAAACCTTGGCCAGATTGTAACCTGATGTGGCCTTACTCTTTATTTAAAATACATTCTTGGGGGAGAGCATAGCTCAAGTGGTAGAGGTCATGCTTGCGTGCATGAGGTCCTGGGTTCAATCCCCAGTAGTTCCTCTAAGAATAAATAAATAAATAAATAAATAAACCTAATTACCTCCCCCCACCAAAAAAAAAAAAAAGGAAAAAATACACTCTGCTTTACCTCTGACTCCCAATACTAGTTTAACTACTGACTTGACTCTGATTAGCATCTTGATCTCTCACCTATCTCTACCTGAACTCTAGTCTAACCCATTAATTCTTGCCTGACCCTTTGACTCAATCCTGGTTGCTGGATATGGCTTTATTTACTATCTGACATCCCTGAACCCTGGCCTGTGGCCTCAGGCTTTAGGCCATTGAGAAGAAGACGATATGGGTAGGGGAGATCTCATACTCACATCCCAGAAGTCTGCCATGCTGCTGATGGCCTGGAAGGAGACTCCAGTGTCTGACTGGGTATGTAAGAAGAGCTCAGACATCACTTTGGTGTAGTAATAGGCACTGGAGCTTGTCATTCCGTAGGTCACTAGAAATCAATCCAAGAGGTTGTGTCCCGAACACTGTTCCCATCTCCATTCTCCAGAGGAGATGGTAAAGCCATTGCCCTGGGGCCAGAGATGCTGCCTAGATGGGATCTGCCCCTAGAATTGGCTGAGGAGGCTGATGGTGGCATTGGGGAAACCAGGGAATACATTACGTAAGAGTTGTGGTTACAAGCCCTCCACCATCCCTCCCAGCTCACCTCAGAAAGACTGAACTCAATTCAGTAATTCTCTCTTGACACTGTCATTCTGAATATTCACTTTTCTCTTCCTGAACCAGCTCAACTTTCTACTGCTTACTTCTCAGAGCCAAGAAATTTCTACCTGCTGTATTAGGAAGTGCTTCCTTTTATTTGTCTTATATTTATGACCTGGGAAAATGCCTCCAAATTCTAGAGTACACCAAGGCCAGTACCTTACAGTAGAGATGTCTCCTGGATATTGGAGTCAGTGACTCTGCAGTCATGGGAGGAGAAGGTAGACATGGAACCTCTGGTCCTGGTGCATTCTGATGGACACAGCTGTCTCCTGACAGAGGGACTCAGAGCATCCCCAGATCAAAAACAAATCTGGCCTTTGCCCTGAAGAACTAGATCTCCCTTAGCCACTGTAGCACACACATCCAGTCTAAAGTAGGGCTGTCAAGGGAAGCTATAAGTTTTCTAGTTAAAAGGCAGAATTGGAAGAGCAGAAGCCGTTTACTTTATAGTCTGCCCTCAGTTTAGATTTGTCTGGTGTCTCCTTGTGCTTAAATTCAGGTTATGCATTTTGGCAAGGAGTACCAAAAAGAGACTGTGCCCTTTTCAGTGCATCATATCCGGGGGCACAAGATGTCTAAATGTATCATTACTGGTGATATTAACTTTGATCCCTTGTTAAGGCAGTATCATCCAGCTTTCTTCAATGTACAATTAAATTGTTTTTATCTTTGTAATTAATACGTATTTTGCGGAGAAATACTTTGAAACTATGCAAATATTCTGTTATTCATCAGTGAGTTTTAGCATCCATTGATGACCTTTGCCTGATTATTTGCCTGATTATGGTTGTCAAGCTGTGGTTTTCTCATTCCATCATTCTTCATGCATTTATTAGTGGGCATTCTCTTCAAGGAGAGTTTCCCTTCTTCCTCATTAATTTATTCATTTATGTATATCAGTAGGAACTCATGGATTCTTGTCTTTTCTTTAAAGTTTCTATAATTCTATAAAATTTTTAATAATTTGTTAAGATTATGAATTTTACTCAATTCTTAGCAAGGTCATGGAAGACAGAGAAATTGCCCTAAAATGCTAAAGAAATGTCCTAGATTAAGAGAGAATAAATAAAAAAAGAAAAATAAATGCAATATGTGCATCTAGTTAGTATTAAGTCCTGGACCATAATTTATTTTCTTTTTCTGTAAAGGCTATTAGTGGATTAACTGGTGAAACTGTAGTAGTCTGTTCATTAGATAATAGTACTGGATCATAGATAATTTCCCTAATTTTGATAAGAGAATGTTCTCGTTTTTAGAAAATACACATGAGAGTATTTAGCAGTGATAGGGCACTATGTCTGCAATTTACTCTCAAACAGTTGTGTGTATGTGTGTGTGTGTGCATGTGTTGGGGGTGGGGTGGAGAGAGAGAATGACAAAGGAAAAGCAAGCATGGTAAAATATTCATCTTTGGGAAATCTGGGTGAAATGTGTATGAGAAATCTTTGTACTATTCTTGCAAATTTTCTGTAAGTCTGTAATTACATCAAAAAAATAAAGTAGGATTTGCCAGCCTCTTGTGAATAATTCCCTTTCAGAATTTTCACTTTCAAATCTTGGGCCATATTTTCTTCTACCACTCCATTTGGAAAGGGAATGCCTTAGGGTGGACTGAAGTTCATCCACAGTCTTGGAGAAAAGGCCAAAGAGTGGTCCCAGATTAAGCACAAGCAACATTAAACTTTTCCAGGTGGGAGATCAGCAGAAAGAAAGCATTATTATTTCACATTTCCCTGCTCCACTCCATTAATTCCAAGAAAAGACTTTAATTCTCTCTAACTCAAATCTGTGATTACCCGATCTTTATATCTGGAGGACTCAGATGCAGCTTTTCTGGATCTGGAAAATGGGTTGAAAATCAATCTTTTGTCTGCAGAAAGCCACCATAGTTAGAACTGGTGGTCAGTGAGCTTAACTTTTCCTTAAGACATTTGCTGATTACATTGTTATACCTTCTGAATGGCCACTAGGTGGTAGTCATAGCTGTATCTTTTTCTCTTCTCCAATTCTCCAATTCTGTTACGGCTCAGAATGAGAACAGCTCTGAACTGGTTGTCAATCCTTTATGGAGGCATAACATCTCTGATTATTATCCAAGACTGTAAAGACTACGTATTCCGAGAAAAATGGCTCCACCTAGTCAAATGCCCACTGATACTCAGAATATCTATCACATGCCCTATATTAAGTCCTTGACATGCCTAATTTATTTAATCCTACAACAACCCTATGTATTAAGTGCTATTATTGTTTCCCCTATTTTCCAGTCTCAGAGAGCTGAGTAACTGGCCTGAGGTAAACAACTCATGGAGCCAGGACTCAAATGCAAATCTGGATGCCTCCATAGTAAATGAATTCTGTTCTGCTTTAAGGACAGAACTATACCCAAGGGGTAGAAGTTACAGGAGGAAAAACATAAGTTCCATAAAAGGCAGAACTTCTTAACCATTAGTGCTTTCTATTATGAAATGGATCACTTCACAAACATCCATTTCACCCAGACTCCATTTCACCCAGAGAGTGCCAGTAAAGAACTGCCTACTGAGGGTCACATGGAGGGGGTTCCTGCAACGGGCAGCTGCAGGCCTTCCTGGTTCCTTCCTTTAAGATCCAGTGAAGGACGGGAAGTGCTCTGTGTGTTTCAAAAGGTGACAGCAGCCAGAGAATAGGAGGGAACAGGGAGCAGTCAGAAGTTGCGTCACTGTATCAAATGTCAGCATGCCAGTACTTTACTATCTTCTTGGTACAGTGAGGGCCTCATTCCAGGAAATTTTCAGAAATTGGACAATAACTGCTTGAGAATGCTTCAGAGATCAGGTGGCCATCCAACATAGAGTATCTGATTTTTTTCTCTCTTGGACAGAAACGAAGTTCTCCCACACACTCGATGCCTTTTAACCTTGGCTTCAGGTCAAATTCACATTTGCTGAATAATAAAAGTAGTCACCATTACTGACACTTATTATTCACAGGGCTCTCCAGACCTTGTCTCCCATAATCCTGAAAAGCCTCAAAAAGTAGGAACTCTGTTTTTATGTAGATAACTGAGATCCAGAATGTATTAAATAACTTGTCCAAAGATCATATAGCAAGCAAGTAGAACTTGGATTCAAACTCAGGTCTGATTTACTCCAAGGACCATGGATTTAGCCACTGCTCTACATTATACTAATATATCACTCTACTACTCAAAATCCTTTTGTTTAAGGACTCTGACTCTCTTTCCTAAAGTCAATCCAAATGGTTAGGTGACTGGATAAAGAAGATGTGGTATATTTATACAATGGAATACTACTCAGCCATAAAAACTGACAACATAATGCCATTTGCAGCAACATGGATGCTCCTGGAGAATGTTATTCTAAGTGAAGTAAGCCAGAAAGAGAAAGAAATATACCATATGAGATCACTCATATGTGGAATCTAAACAAACAAAAACAAAAACAAACAAACAAACAAAAACAAAGTGTAAATACAGGACAGAAATAGACTCATAGACAGAGAATACAGATTTGTGGTTGCCAGGGGGGCAGAGGGTGGGAAGGGATAAACTGGGATTTCAAAATTGTAGAATAGATAAACAAGATTATACTGTATAGCACAGGGAAACATACACAAAATGTTATGGTAGTTCACAGAGAAAAAAATGTGACAATGAGTGTGTATATGTCCATGTATGACTGAAAAATTGTGATGAACACTGGAATTTGACACAACATTGTAAAATGATTATAAATCAATAAAAAAATGTTAAAAAAATGGTTAGGACTGTGCAAGTTTATAAGGTGTCCTTATAAGAAAACTATTTGAAGAGTTCAATATCTGAATTAGGAGGCAAATTACAAAAGCACTTGGCAAACTCAGAAGATCTTAAAAGAAGCTTCAAATTTCTTCATTCTGGTATAAATGGATAAATGTACATAAATCTGTATCAAGAATCATACTCTGACATAGGTGAGTCCCAAAGAAGGAAAAAAATCACATGCACAAATATGTCACCTGAGTTATGTATAATATCAAAAAATTACAAACAACCTAAATGTCCTACAGAGACGCAATGGTTAAGTAAATTATATCACTGAACCACTTAACGGAGTACAATACAGCCATTGAAATGATAATAAAAACAGAATGCAAAATTGTTTTCCTGCTATCATTTAAATATTTTAAAAGATACTAAGTATATAAAAACTTAAAGGAAAAATGGACTTTTAGTGAAAGAGTAGTATAATGGGATTTTATTTCTCTTCTCTTTCCCATGGAATTCAGTTAATGCTATGATCATAATAGAATATGAAAGTAATAAAATCATTAAAAAATATCTTCACTGGTTGAAATTTCACTGGTTGAAATAAGTCACTGGTTGAAATTTTCAGCTGCTGGATGCTGTGCTGGGCTTTGTGACTGCTTCCCTAAGATCCTTTCTTGGTTCATACCATGATTTGTTTGAGGTATCACACCTCTCCTGATCATCTCATATATGTTGCCAGATGCTAAATCCAACCCTGGCTTTAGGACTTGGACAGGGAGCTCAGGCCTAAGCTAATCTACAAATCCCCCTCCCTTGGTACCATTATCGGTTCAGGGATGAACATGTAATCCATTTCAGACCAAGGAGTCATGAAGAGAGATTTCTGGAACCTTTTGGGACCTAGTCTCTCATACTAGATATGAATAAGAAAGCCCAGGTGAGCCAGGCTTAGAATGAAACTGATTGCACAGCTG